TCACGTAATTCATACGTGGAGGCTGACTTGCATGCACCAACAATTGATGAGTTATGCAAGCAGCTAGAAGATGATGATGGAACATACCAATCACATATGGAGGGGAGGCTTCAGAACCTGCTCAAAGAGGCCCGGGAAAAGTCCAAATACTGGATTTCGTGCAGCAGCTCTGACAACACAGAGCTCTACTATAAGAAGGTTTGTGTTTCCCTGTGATTAGTGAGTTATGTTGCTATTGTTTTAAAGTGTATAAAATTGCCCATCAACTCTAAACTATGAGGGTTACAACAGAAAATAAAATACTTGATATCAGCCATGCTCTTTTATACCTCAATCATGGTTCCTGCTTTCACATCCATATGTTAAAAGTATGAATTGTTTCTTTGCGCGTCACCCAGGTGGGAGATGGGAACCCTTTGAGACGATGGAGAGTGTCTGTGGAGGTGGAAGCACCACCATCTGTGGTGTTGAATCGAGTGCTACGAGAGCGCCATCTGTGGGATGTTGACCTGCTACAGTGGAAAGTGTCTGAGACACTGGACAAGCAGACAGAAGTGTTTCAGACTGTCCTCAATCGCATGCCTCCTCACCCCAGCAGGGACTTTGTCGTTTTAAGGTGAGTGATGATGAAAAGAAAACATCACATCTTCATTTGTGTAAAAGTAGCTAAAATGTATCTTTCTTTGAGAGCTTACACTGAATCTCTTTCTGTATATCTAAGGTCATGGAGGACAGACTTGCCCAAAGGTGCCTGCTCCCTGGTTTCTGTGTCTATAGAGCATGAGGATTGTCCTCCTGTGGGAGGGGTACGAGCTATTGTCCTGGAGTCCAACTACCTGCTAGAGCCCTGTGGCTCTGGAAAGTCCAGACTAACTCACATCTGCAGAGTGGACTTAAAGTTAGTCCTAGATGATTGTCTCATAATTTTAAAAGCATTTTGACACACTTTATTTAAACCCTGTTGTGTATGCATGTACAATTAATGTCTGTGCAGTATACTGAATATACTGTTTTGATTTCAGGGGAAGGTCTCCAGATTGGTATAACAAAGCCTTCGGCCACCTTTGTGCTGCAGAAGCTGCCCGGATCCGCAACTCCTTTCAGCCACTCATCACAGACGGCCCAGAGACCAAAATTTGAAACTCTTTGACAGTTGTCTGCTCAGAGATAAACAATGAGTCTTTCAGTCATTGCTAACAGACAGACACAAAGCATAGACTGGACCCCAGAACTAAAGCACAGTTTATTCAGTTTTGTTTTTCTCAGAGTAAAAATACTCTGGAGGTCCTCTTGCACAATGACAAAAGAGGAAATGTTATAGGTGCTGACTATAATCACTTATTGGGAAATTAATCATCCTGCCGATATCGTTAGCATTAGGATTTTATTTACCCTACTGTTGCTAAACCTGTATATTATAATTATTATCTTTGATAATGTCATTACATTACTTTTACTATAATCTACGATGTCTGGGACATTTAAGCTCTTAATGCTTCTGGGAAGCATGTTATTCATATTCAAGGTCTAAAGCTATAATTATTATAATGTACACTCAAGTGTCTGTATATATGTGTGTGAATATACTGTACATGCAAACAAGATGTATATATTGTATATGTGAGGGGATAAAGAATACATTTTGTTAATTTACTATATATTGATTCTTTTATGGTGCCAACCTCCCAGTTATTCACATGGTACAAAATTGTAAGCTGGTTTTACTTTGCTTCAGTATTGCCATTTTTCAATGGGTGTAATTTTATTAAACCTTGAGCTCCTATGGTTGTAAAAAGAATGACTTAAGGTTTGACTTGCTCATACCTGCTTTAGGGTACTGTACTGTGCAGTGTCAAGTACAAGAGACATCATTTTTAATAAAAATATCAAACTTATAAAATGTGAGATTGCTCTCATTCCCAATCTGCTATATGAAGAAGAAGAAACAAGACATTTCAATTATTCAGTAATGATATCTACTATGAATCCAAATACCTGTTATGGTCGATTAATATCAAACAGTGACAGAAAGGTTTAGTGTTCATACACGCATGGGAAGACACTGATCTCTACTGGCCATTTGAAGGAAACACAAGACTGCAGACACAGTAACCTCACTGAAGAATTCACCTTAACATACAATTCTCTCTGATGTGGGAGGACAGCGACCTCTATTGGCAATTTAAAGGAAACAAGAGGAGTCCACATGGGTGAACACACTTAAATGGTAACCTTCCTTCAACTACAAACAAGTGACAAAGTAAAGAAACAAACATAATGAAGTTTTATCGTAATAAAGATCTAACAACAACCATTCACTCACATATTCCCATCTGTCAATAGAGTTTCAACTCAATGTAATCCCAATGTGCAACTTTTTGAACCTTCTTGCTGTGAGACAACAGTGCTAACCACTGCACCAACACTGTGTACAAACACAATAGTTATTAAAATGACGAATTGTATGCGATGGGAATGCATGGGCTGGAGACATCAGCTTGATTGCAATTTTTGTCCACTAGATGGCTCTTTCTGATCAGCAGAATATTCCTTTTATTATGGAATCGTTTATTTTCCCTAGTAACAATGTGATTGATATCAAGTTCCCCTTTTCATTGATGTTTTTAGTACTTTTTTCAACGGGTAGTAAGAGAGGACTGATATCTACCGTGGAGACCTACACAAATGAAAAATGTTCAAGTACATTCCAAGTAATAGCCTGAAATAGAATCACAAACTAAGATCTATTGAAAACCTGACTGGAATAAAGTAAGTAGCAGAGATGTTGAGAATGTGTAAAAGGGTCATCCACCAAAACTACAACAGAAAACAGAAAGATGCTGCTGTGGCCAACCTACCAAAAGCAACATTATATGGAATTCAACAATATTTTGGCTCACAGATACTAGATTTGTTTCCCTGATTCAGTTCTGTGTATATGCTCATACTGTGTGAATCAGGAGTTCAACACCCCCACTCCACTGACCTCTACTGAGCCCAACATGGTCTATAAGCTGTTTTTCACCCCACTGATATTAACTATATTAATTAGATACACTACTATGTTGGGACAATAGAACTTTTAAAACGTTGACAATAATTCAGTGAAATTATATTTAACTTATTCACTGGTGAGTAGGTTGAACGATCTAATTATTAATAATGCCGCATTTCATAAGATCAAATTAAATCAAATTCTAAAACTGAGCAGCACATATGACAGGTACAGCTTCATATGCCCAGCAGTAATTTCTACAACCTTTGAAGCCATCCTGACACAGAACCGCTTAATGATGTCATAAAATGCAGGCTCAGTTCCTGGCTGTCAGTCAGGACGATTGACAGGATTGTTGCCAAGATGTCAATGACAGTCTCTTTTATGTAATCGCTGGAATCTGATGGCTTCCTTTTTGTTAAATTAAGCTCCTAATGTATTCATAAAAATACATTTGTGTAAGTGCTTCTGCATGTAGAAAGGTTCATTTACAATTAACAACAATTCTTGTCTTATCATTGTAATTTTTATCTTAAAACATAAAACAAGCCATATATAAGATTTTAGAGAAGTTACTGTTCTCAATTGTCTCATAAAAACATTATGACTTAAGGCAGTAATAATGAAATGTCTACTATGCTTTTGCATTCTGTTCTTTAGAATAAAAACAGAACTATTCATTCAAAGCAGTGATTGTTTTGACTTGGTTTTAACAGTAATAAAACTTTGTAAATACTGAAAAAAACATTCAATTCATGAATTTCTATTAATGCTGCCTGAATGTACCTGTTAAATGTATAAATCCAAACTAATTAGGAACTTAACTTGTAGATGATCAACAGAATAATCTGTATAACAGGATTTATCGATTGCATAGGGGACCACTTAAGGTCTGATCAATAAACTGTACACATCTAGAGCTCAAACTGTAAATGGCGCTACAAACATTTGTGAGGTAATGATCATAATAAAAGTCAAGTGTGCCTCAAGCATGTGTGCATGCATGGTGGAAGCCCTAAAGGGTCATACATACATACATTTTATTCCACCCGTTTTCCCATGATAATGAGATAATTTTCCTCCGTTTTCCCGTGATAACGAGAAAACGGAAGGATTATCTCGTTATCACGAGAAAACGATCTTTGTTATATCGAGATAACGAGATAATTTAAAAAAAAAATCGATGGCCGTTCTCGGCTTCTGTAGTCTTCTCAGATGACGCACACTAATGTGTACATTATCTATAGCAAGGCATAAAGCTATTTCAGCCTGTGTCAGGCCTTGATTGAAGAGATATGTGATGCGGAGATCGGTATTCTCCTGCTCCTCTGACATTGCTACACTAAATGATGTTTCCTGCAATGATTTAATACGTTTTGTTTTCTCGAGATCTCGAATTAATTATCTCGTTATCACGGGAAAATGGAGGAAAATTATCTCGTTATCACGGGAAAACGTGTGGAATGAAATGTATGTATGTATGTATGACCCTTTAGGGCTTCCGAATTTTTCACTTGTTCTCTCACTTTTTTTACCCAATGTATTGTCTATTCTACATCAATGGAAAACAGAAAATTTGCCAACTTCCGGTGGCCATCTTTGATTTGGTGCAGCCACTAAAGTGCTAGCTTCAGGTCTCCAGCTCCTAAAGTGTAACCTTAAGTCAACTGACCAAACAAGAGAACAACTAAACAGACGTAGGTGGAAAAACATTTTCTTTTCTAAGTAGCCATGTTTAAAGATATAGGGGCAACCCCGCACTTGTCTGCTCACCGTCGCCAGGTGGACGGGACCTGCCCCCGGTCAGACCCCCTCCACCTCCAGGGCTCCGGCCCCGGCAGCGTCGCATCCATCCGGCGCAGGCGTGGTGAGTGGAGCCGCAGGCAGGGGGCGGCAACATGGCGGTGACAGCCCGAGCACTGAATGGAGCACGTGCACAAAACAGACACACACATGCACGCACGCACACACCACAGACTCACACTCTCTCTTCCACACACAGACACACACGCTCACTCTCTCACGCACACACTCAGCGCAGGTCAGTCACTTGGCACCGACTACACACCGGTTCTCCCTCATCGGAACTCACTCAGTGGATGTGACCGACTGACTGAGCTCTTGTTTTGGGGGTTTGTTTTTTTTTCTTGTCTTTTTCATTTGTTCTTCTTCTTCACGCTCCAGAGCAGCGATTAAAAACATCACCGGGGTGAACGCGTCTCAACTCTCCCCTCCACCCCGCCGCCGACGGGGGGAAATGACAAGCGAGAGACCGGTGGCAATGCCGGGCTCCGTGTCGCTCTCGGACCGACAACCTCCGCCAGGTCACGGGCAGCACGCGACTGCTGTCTCCGGTGAGACAGGGACGATGTCCGCCTCGGGTCCAGTGCTCTTCCCGGCTGGGATTATCAATCCATCGGTTCCAATCCGGAATATCAAAATGAAATTTGCTGTTCTAATCGGACTGATCCAGGTTGGAGAGGTTAGCAACCGGGATATTGTGGAAACGGTGCTGAATTTGGTAAGTCACCGTTTTATCCGGACGTTATTGCCTGTTAATCCTGAACCCAGAATAATAATGTGACATATGATGACACAACAAGGTTCCTTTAACCCTGATGACCATTAACTTAAGTGCAGCACTGCTGTCAAACAAGAAATAAGAGGACAGAGCAGCAAACATTTAAAAGTCTCACACACATACAAAGCCAGTCATTCATTTAGAATTGTTTCTATTTACAAGGCATAAGTAAACCAAAAAAACCCCCACAGTTATAAACTGCCTCACCAAATCACACTCATACTAGTTAAATACTTGATGTAATAAAATAAACAAACAGCTCAGATAACAATGGGGAAAGGCTCGATGGGAAAGTGAGTTCATGAAGTTTGAAATCCAGACCCCACTGTGTTTGCTTGTAAAACGGTTCAGACTTCGTGGATGATGTCAGTGAAGGTGAAGTGAATACCTGCAGACATTAAAGTGTAATGTGAGAACTTTGCTTCACTGCCACACCATTGATTTCAAATGGCATTTGTGCTGATGCAGAGTGATGGAGGATTCAGCTGCAGGTGAGATGTACAAAACTGCTCAGAGTTGGATGAGCATATTTGGACAGCTTCTATATTCCTGGGTACTGCACCTGCTCCTAACTACAGTGTGAGTGCTTGTGGGAGTATACCCTCGCCCTGAATTTATATTGCCTCACGCAGGGAGCATTTTTGAGTAGCTTTCCCCGTTTGTCGCAACAACGTGAGAGGAAAATGAGAAGGAATGGTTTGTCAGGACAAAGGGGTTTGGAATTTTGAGCTCATCCAACAACCATGGTTGGCAAATGAAGCCGGTTCCCCTCATAGTCACAGTTTAACATGATGTACAGGGACTGAGCTCATACCTTTTGCTCTGACCAGTTGCAGGAGTACCACAGCAGAGCCTGTTTGCAGTGTTTGGCTTCCCTTTGTTGGCACACTAGAGATTAATTACGACCTGTTCTGGCACAGAAGAAATCCACTTTGTGTAGTGGGACAAATTGTAGCCCTTGGCATCTTTAGACATGAGCGTAGCACTGCAATAGCTGAGGTCTGTGACACCTTGCCCTCTGCACACTTTGCAGTGCCATTTTCACACGAATAGTGCGCAAGGTATAACACACTGTAGTCCACAGTGTTTTTTTCCCCATCGCCAACACTTATCCTCTGTGGGTCATTTCTTTATTTTGCTTTATTTTGACTTACTGAGTGCAGATCATTATTGTCCCAGCTGCCTTTCTCTGTGCACATTTTGTTTCAAAGTAATCTGTGCATGCTACACACAGTAGATGTGCATTTAATCCAAAAATCTGAAGGGCTCAAGCGTTTGAATGACAGATTTTAATTAATAGAGGTTTAGGGTTTCAGACACATTTAATTATACTTGTTTGCACACGAAAATAAAACCTGCATCGGAATTATGTGCATTCAAATGAACCACATTTAATACAGCAGTTTTGGGACCAGATGACACAGTAATTGTGATTATATCCGCCTCTTCATCTAAATTATATCACAAAATGTGCATAAATAATACTACCCAAGGAAGATGCCAGAGAAAGCTCCATGTCTATAAGATGTCATGACTACAGGAATTTTGATGATTTCAGTTTTTTTTTTATTGTAGAACGGATGTGAAGCTCCTGAAGGATTCTTAACTGTATCTCATGGGATCCAATTTGTGGAGTAATGAAATAATAATGTTTATCTCCAACAGTCTTGGGGAAAATGTGGTTGGATGATCCTGTTCGGAATGTCTTTCATGAAATGTCTTTTCTTTTATCTTTGTTATTTAGGTTCACGTCTTTTTAAAAGGCCAAGATTGGAATTTTGACAAAAAGTAGATATGATATTACTGCTAGTATTGGAAAGAAGTACGTCAGATCTTTGAAATCAGGTATATTATGAAATGGAAAACACCTCACATCAGTGACACTGAATTAGACACTGAACACATAAATCACCGTGTTCCAGAACACTCAGCTCTATACCTACAAACTTAACAACTATTTTGGTTTCATCATATGTAGATGTAGTAAATTATTCACTGCATTATTTATATTTAGTGCCATTGGGACCTGGGAACTTATTATGAGCATACATTTCAACCATAGACTTTATATAAAGATGGACAACATGAGAGCTCCCCAAAGGTGAAGCCAAAGCATCTCGATGATGATGATGACGATAAGTCATAATGGCGGCCCCCTCCATGTTAGTGGATGGGACATAAACCAAGAAAGTCAAAGTACAAAACATCTCAAATATGTTTTCTGTCATTTTAGGAAGTTTTTATCTCACTGATGTTTGTTCGGGTGCAAATGTGTTTGGTAAATTTTAATTAGCTATTTAATCCTATGAAAATGTGGTAAAACATAATGACTCACAGCTGAGACTGACTTGGGAATGGTGTATGTATTGGTGGGATCTTGATTCCAGCGGCTCCATTCATTCATCTCTTCTGCACTCTAATGCATTAATAGTAATTGTAATTATTAAAATAATGATATCAACAGAATATATTGGTAGGAATGTTTTGGGGGGCCAACTACTCTTGAAGTATTTTCAATCAGAACCATAACAATTAGTTTTCAGCTGCACATACGGCTAATGCTGCTTTTGAGGGCTGACCACAAACATAGGTCATACACCAAATCAAATTTGGTGTATCTATAACCCCTAACCCACTCATGTTCTGAGACTTTAAGAATGCAAGCACTAGACCCACTATTCTCCATGAAGCACAAAATCACCAACATGATCTTTCAAGCCTTGAGGGCGTGAGTGTTGGATACTAAAAAGATTTTTAGTGGATTATCACTTTTATGACATGTTTCACCTTGCTGGCTAACAGTCTGTAAAGAGGAAATGTTATTCTCTACCAGGGTTTTTATAAAAGCACTTCCAGATAAAAAAAACAGGCGATTATCTTTTGTTTTACCTTTTCATTGGTGTCATTCTACAGTTTATTCTGTAACTTGCAAAGTGCACATAATGGGGAGACCCACCTATTGCTTATTTGATGCAACATTTTGTAGGCAGCTTAAATAGAAGGCAAACCAGCCTGCTGAGATACTTGATTGAAAAGCTGTCAGATTCTTTGTATTTGATATATGCCCTCACTGCTTCATTAAGTATATGATCACCAATAATTGCTAGATCAGTTATTTTCATTAGCCTAATGACATTACGCTTGCTTCTCCAATTATCCTTATGACAGCTGCAATGATGCACATTGGACTATGATTTGTAATCACTGATCCTTGCTGTGTCTGATTAAGATGCTATTGAGAGCAATTTTACTGAGTCAGAACAGAATAAACGAAGGGAAAGCTGTGGGGTGTAGCACACTTTTATAAAATAACCTGTTGTATTAAAAGCCAAATTTGTCAGGATGCCTCATGTATAAGTTTCCTGTGACTGGAGTGTTGGCATATGAACAATGCAAATACTCTCCAGACGAGGTGTCAGCAGAAAGCACTGGCGCTTATCTGATGTGTCTGTCAGTCACAATTAATGGTCAACCAGTTCAAACTGCAGACAACTTAGAGTTCCAAGGAACAAATCGTTTTGCTGCGTCAAATATAATAGCTGCCTGGATTTTTTTTGTTTTCGCGACTTTATGTGTTATGTGATGGATGAGGGGTGTGCTAAGTATGGGACATTAGAGATAAAGTTTCTCATCCAATCTATGGCTAAGATGCTAAAAGTATGTCCCTTTATCTCTGGTCAAAACAAAATAAAGGTGATGTTATTCATCTTTCATGTATATGCTCCTTGAAAGGAAAGCTGTAATTAAGATAATGTGTTATAAGAGAGGTTTTGAAGTTCTGTCTTCAAGGTTGATGTAATTCCACAGGAATTAAATGAAGTACAAAGGGGAGCTTGCATGCTGTCATTTTACCTCTAGACATTATTCAACTTGAATTCAAAGTTGGTTCTTTTGAAAGACTGTGTGCCTTCCATATGCATCAGGGTAGCAAGGTCTATTTTAAGTTTGAATGCTAAGTGCTAGTTTTGTAGGTAATGATTAGCAGGTCCCTAGTCTGGCCTGGATGAAACGGGAAGCCATTGGAGCGAGGGCAGATTTAGTGATGTTCTCAAATAATTTTGGGTTTTCATTATTATGCCAGCATTTTAATTTTTGACGAATTGGAATATTTAAATGGTATAGAGTATTCAATCACACTACCTCTACCCTCACTACCAAAATCTACTCAGAATGGTTTCAAGACTGGTGTCACTGCTCAGCAGCCCACCTGGGAGAGGCAGAGGGTGTCCTGCCCTCCCATGGTGTCCATTTTAAAGGTGGGAATGGGACATGGCATATGGGCCATATGGCAGGGTGTCATCCATAGAGGATGAAGTCAGGATAGCTCTCCTCCCCTCAGTGCCCTTATGGCCTGGTGGTTAGCCATCACTTCGGTCAGAGAGGGAAATAATGACAACCACCATGTTTGAATGCTGTTACACCGCTGTTGTGATGCTGACAAACAAAATGGCTCACCCACCAACACACCAAACTGTTAGTGGAAGAAGAGAGGTGGTGTTTTAGAGAGGAAACACTTCTCTCTTTTCTGCACAAAACGGAATGGAGGGATAAGGAGCAGGGCATGAAGTCAGCTCCTCCTCACCCTCTCTGCCTCTTGGTCTGGACACCTTCACCCACCCTGTGTGGTCTATAGCTTTCTACACCACCATGACACTTTTGAAGTGTTTATTGGATATAGAAAAATGTGAAAATGAAATCAAGGCTCCCCTGATATTACTAACTTACTTTTTGAACCCTAACTGTACCAAAGCAAGACCTCAGTATTAACCAGCTGCTCCTAAAAAAACAACAACTGAAGTCTGCAGCTCACATTGTTGTCAAGGAACAGCCAGTATATCTGGACATGCATAATAGATAAAAGACAAGGATTGAGACTTGTGTGCAGCCTGAGCTGCTTTCAGTTATAGTTGGCCTTCACTGTAAGTATCCCTCTGCTGCTG